GGGTGGGGGGGTGGGGGGGGCGGTACAAGAAGACAGTTCATGTGTGGGCATAAGCCATCTATTGGCTTCCAGAGATCGGAGAGTGGGGGAGAGAGAAAAAAAAAAAAGGTAAAACAAATGCCTCAGCTGGGCAACCAAATTGTTCAGTGTGGGATATAGTCGCCTACGATTTTTTTAACATGCATAAAATACAACATTGAGGTTCTTAATATTTTGTCTCCGGACTGCAGTGCTTTTTCTGTACGCGCTCCCCCCCCCCACTTCCGGTGCTAACAGGGCGATGGAAGCTAGTTTTCTCTCTTTTTTTGTTTTTGCCAAATGAATCTAAGTAGTTAATGCGTGGGTTGTGAGATGGCTAATGGTGCATGCTCAAACAGGGTGTGCGTTTGAAAATTCTGGGGAAAAACTGTCGCCTCGTGCCCTGAGAGAAAAACACAATCTTCTGATTTGCGCACGGGTGAGAAAAACAAATAAGAGTAGGTGTTAAATGTTCTGGATGAAACAAAAAAAATACATATAAATGGGGGGGAAAAAAAGAAAAAAAAATTTCAGTCTGAACCAAAGAAATGTATCCCCCCCCCCTCCACCAGAGAATTTTGTCTCCATCACATTGCATATTTTTGTGTCCATTCTTTTGCCGTTTTGGAATACCTGCAAGGAGAAGATGCTCATTAGCAATGTTAGCATTCAATCAAAGGCCTACTTTCATTTGAAGCAAATATGCGCGATGCATATTCGCCAGAACAGAGCTGCAAAAGTTGATGACTATGTCCACATGCAGAACCCAAAACTTTATTCCCCCCCCCCAAAAAAAATAAATTGATCAGATATTAAAAAGAAAAAAAAAACAACTATATCATGAAAAACAAGTTATATTTGTCACTCACTTCAGAAAATTAAATCCGAATATGATATTGATTCATTGCATCGTGAAATATTTCAAGCCTTTATTGCCTGCGAGTCGATTCGTGCTTCCAATGAAGACTGTGCTCCATTCATCCCTCTTACAAATTCGAAACACAACACCCCGTAGCAACATTGACATATTTTTGCAATTAAAATAATCATAACCAAAACCCAAGAAACCACATCGACACAAAGTATTCCCAGCCCATGCCACAAAGCTCAAACTTGAGTTGAGGCGCATCAATCCGGGAGGACGAGCATCTCTGCAGCACTCCGCCAATTGGGTCTGCACAGTAGAGTGGCCAGATGGCTTGCGCAAAATGCACAGAGACATCCTGGATGAAAACTTGCTCCAGAGCGCTCGGGGCCTCAGACTGGGGGAAGGTGTACCTTCCAACATGACCACCAGCCCAAGCGCACAGTCAAGACAACAAAGACGTGGCGTCAGGACAACTCTGTGACTGCCGCATCTAAGCATGGGTCTTAATTTTTTTTTTTTAAATAGAAGATATCTCAACATGACAACTTATGACATTGTGCTAAGTCAGCACTGGTTCAAATCAAGAAAACAAATGAAATCTTTGAATTCTCCAAGTGGACTTGGAGAACTCCAATTTTGTAGCCAACAAATCCACTGCAGAGGCCGACAGTCTGCAATGCATGAAAACTCGTTGGCGCAACCCCCGAATCGCCGGCCTTTTTCGCCCACATCACCCAATGCTATAATCATCACCTTGCAAGAAATAAAGGCTTGAGATGTGTGACGCAGCACTTTTTCAAATGGATAGGCTGGATTTACACTGCAGGTCCGATGACCCAATTCTGATTGAATTCCTTTCATGTATTTATTTATTTTTTTAACTTCAACGTACATGTCAAATAGAATTGCATTTCCATTCACTAAATGCATGAAATGATATAAATGAATACACAAATTGCACAGTAACTACACACACGTACACAAACATGGAAAAATTGTTCAAATGATTCACTAACAAACATATTTCACTCGTGAGTTAAAATAAAAGTGGCAAGATTCTTAAAATCTAAAGTTAAGGTACAATTGAACTGCATTCGGGGAGTGATCCATTTGTATACGACGCTGGCAATCGTCGATGTAGCGCACACCAGATGGTTTTCCCCCCTCAGCATGTGTGTATTTTTATTTCTATATATGTATATATATATTTTTGTTTTATTTTAAAGCATGACATACTTAATGTCCACTCCCAAGCTATCTTATTGTACCTGAGAGTGAAAATCGACATTTATTAAGTTGGTTTTGCAATTACCACGCTTTACTTACTTGACGTTATCTGTTTTGTAGATTCGGGCAATCTCTGGCACTAGCGGGTCGTCTGGGTTGGGGTCGCATAGCAGCGAGCAAATGGAGAGAAGAACTGCACCAAGAAAAGAAAAACAAAACAAAACAAAAAAAAGTGGCATGTCATTCCAGAAAGACCTTGATGACGCATGATTTGGCAGGGAAATTAAAAGAGCTTCCTGGTGAGAGCGCCAGCTGAGCGGGCCCGATGAGAACGCGAGGCAGCGATTGAGTCACCTTTCGAAATGGTAAGTGCTGGAGACCACTGTGATCTGAGAATGTCCAGACAGATACTGCCGTTACTGTTAATATTCGGGTGGTAGATTCTCGTTGTGAACGCAACCTGAAAGACAAAGTGAGAAATACAGCCGAGTCATGATCACGTCAGCTAAAAAGAAACGTGTTGACGCCCTGAAATTCCGGTATGACTTCAAGTGGTAGCCAAGACCGCAAAAATGCCTTGACGGGCGCCGGTGTTGATGTCATCATGTCTTTGGGACTGCAGTTCATTTCCACAAAACTAATCACTAGAGGAACCTCGACAGTCAAAAACAACCGTCAGGAAAAAGTCCAGAGTGGAGAAGTACGGCAGACAAGTGATGAGCACGTCTGCCACGCGGTGTGACAAGTGGCTGACTCGAGTACACACTTATTTACGAGTACACTGTCATGAAGATGTCAAGCCAAATCTGGCAACAATTCTTTCAGCGCATGACAGCAGTATACGGTCAAAGATGTAAGAATGCCAACTTCAAAATAACTTACCGAATAGAGCAACTTAATTACGCGGACACTGTATTGTACGGCGCCTGCTGCCAGCGTGGAGCGTGCGGCAGCGCTTGTCGCACTCAAGTGCTCCATTTGACAGATGCTGCACAAGAGCTGTTATCAGCTATCAAATCGACCGGTCAATGAATCGGCGGGGCTCTAATTGCATATATCGCCATGATCTGTTAGGATAGTTGGAATGTTAGTTTTTCATGGGTCCGTATGGTTGTTTCAATTCTATTTGTTATTATATAACCTGCCCTTTTTGAACACTGCTTGGGTAGATCATCAAGGGTTTACGATGGCAATGTCTGACCCAGCAATTCAGGCATTCCATTTCCACATTTGCAAGTGTGTGTGTGTGTGTGTGTGTTAGGATGCCTTGCTTTAAATGTGGGTGCGCAAAGGTGCTTACCTTGGGTGGTTTGAAGGGATAGTCTGTTGGAAAATGAATAGTCAAGAAGAAAACACCTCCCTGATATGGACTGTCAGTCTAAACGAACATAAAAAAAA